GTGAGTTGGAGAGAAACAAAGTCCAAGGCCAAAAACATAAAAGGAAAAGAAAATAGTAAGGAGGCAAAGGGGTACTTGAGCTTTGAGTACCAATGAATTGGAGGGGGAAAAATACTAGAAAAGTTTAAAGGATGATGATAACTCTCTTCCTTTTTCTCCATTTGCTACACCGGAAACAAAGTGTGGAATCCTTAGTGAAATGACTAGATGGATACATGGGTGGGTGAGGAACTGAATGGATGAATCGGCCTCCATCCTCAAAGGGAAATGACAGACAAAATGGTTAATCTATTACCCTGAGAGCTGGTGACCATTATCACAGGAAATTCCTCTTCTCTCTTGCTATAGGTGTGTCCCAAGTCATGTTGAGGTAGCTCTTCTATTAAAGGAAGAAAACAGTTGGGGGCAACCTGCAGCTAAGAAACTTTCTTTTTTCCCTACCAGGTTAATTGGACACCATGACAACAATGACAGAGACTGCCAATTAGCCCCAAATTTTAGATTCCTATGCTAATGGGCTAAGAAAGTGAGTGATGTTGAGACAGTGGTTCTGAAGCTGGAAGGCTTGTTACAACAAAGACTTTTGGATCTCTCTCTGAGTTTCTGAATCAGTAGGTCTGGGACAGGACCCAAGAATTCTTATTTCCAACAAGTTCCCAGGTGAAGCTGAAGCTGCAATACAGCAGAACCACTGAGCTAGACAATCCCTAAGGTCCCTTGGACTCTACTCTCCTACAAGTCTATTCATGAACTACCAAAATCCAGTCAGTTCAGAATTGAGTGGACTTTGAAAGTAAATATAACACATTTGAGGGATCCTAAAGGCACACAGTGCTGCTAAATTTAGCATCAGTATACCTTAGCATTCTAACTGTCCTTACTGTGGGGCATTTTTAATTTTTGGAGGAGCAATTTCTTTTGTATCACTGTGTTTCTTTTTGGAGAGTTAAAAATGTCAAAACATTTGAGAAAATTAATTTTAAAAATTTAGTCACAGGGCCTCTGTGGTGGCACAAGGGGTTAAGATGCAACCTATGAAGCTGCCCGCAGTCACTGAAGCACCAGCACGAGTTCTATCCCCAGCCAGGGAACTACCCACATGGCACAGCAGACCTCTCCTGACTCTCCCACTGCTCCCCTCACCAGTGTATTTCAGCCAATCTGCCTGTTCTGCTTCTCACTCTGTCTTTGGTGAATCCTCTCACCCCCTGCATCTCTGGCCTGTACCCCAGCTCTTGTATGCATAAATAAATAAATCTTTTCCAAAAAATTTAATCACAATACAACAATATAAATATGAACTCAGGAGCCTGCAAGGAACTTCTGTGGGGCCATCTATGTCACTGCCTGACTTCCAACAGCATTTGCAAACCAGTTATCAAACACATATCTAAAGTACACCTAGCTGACATCAAGTGTGTGTGGGGGGGGGGGACTCTGACATTTATCTCTGGTGCTGTCCTCCTCCCGACTCTGGCTATCTTTAAAAGACTCTTCAAGTTCATGTCACACAGTAATCTCACCTGCTCTTCCATAATGCCTTTCTCACAGCAGGTCTCCAGAGGGCAAAAAGGTGGCTATCACCTTCCTTCCATTCACTTTTCCTATAGAAAGACATACTAAAATTCCCTCACACATAGACATACGCTTATATGATGAAAAGTTCTGATTCCTTCAACCTTTCCACAAAAATCTTTCATCATTTTCACTGATCACCTCTGCAACTTTTTCGAAATCCCTACCCCTTCTTGTCCTCCACCTGGGGCAGCACAAGTCACAGGTTCTTTAATCTTTCACCATACTTTCCTTAGCATGTCCTGAATTGTGTGAGGTTGTTAATAGCCTCATTGCTGACACCAGCATAAACATGACGGGCAGGGATGGACAAATCTGGGTTTCAGAAGATGAGACAAGACACCTGTTTGAAGAGAAAAAAGGAGCAGGACCCCGTTGGCAAAGAGGTATTTGAGCAGGACTAAAAGATAACCCAGGAATCACTTTCCTGAATAAAAGTCTGACCACACCAATGTTTGAGGCCCATGGAGTACTCACAACTCAGAGCAATTCCGCTAACACTGGGTGTTGGCTTTTAAATTGTAATATCCAAATCAGAGAGGAAATGACGGTGCATTCCAAGCAAAACTGCACACATTTAAACAGATGAAGAAAATAACAACAAAAGTGCAAATTTATTCTGCATATGTGATCATGCTAATCATTACATCAAGTTCCATATATGCCCAGCCAGAACAAATATTAACCCATTTTATAAATTACTTTATACTACATTTGTGGCTACAGCTCCACCCAAACCCAAAACAACACTGTTTCCATAGTAACCAACAGATTTCAAAGAAGGAAAAAGGAAGGGAAGACTTCAGAAGGGATAGCAATCAAATAAAATAGCCAGCATCAACAAAATACGTTAGCATTATTTAAAACACATATTTAGGACTTTTCTATAGTTTAATCTCTTTCCCAGAAAACTAGCGCTGCCTAAGTCACCTTTTCGTAAAGCTGGTCCTCCCACCCAAAAAAAAAAAAAAAGAAAGAAGGAAAAAAAAGGAAAGAAAGAAACCCACAAAAGTGTTTCCATTTTAATGGAGGAAAAAGCAAATTTCTTGAGTCATTCCTGGGATTGAAATGAGAGAATGATGAAGAAAAATCACATCTACTCAGTAACTTTGCACAAACTGAAATTCAGATTAACAACTGGTAACACCAAGATCTTAACTGTGCTTTGATTGTCCTGCCAGAGTATCTCTATTCTCTTGCTGAAATGTTTTAAGGAGGGAAAAAGAAGTAAAAGCCAAAATTCAAAGCCACAGAGCCAGCAACCAGAAAAACTGCAGACCATCATCAAGTAAAAGCCAGATTTGTCATGAGAACTTTCTCAAATCTCAGTTTCCCCAAATGAATTCTACAGCAGTAGGATATGTAAGTAGTTTATCCACATGCCTGCACGTTCTGAGTTTTAAGCTGATAGATAAAATTCAAGGTAGTCCCTATAGGCAACATCCTATTTCAGGATCGAACTGACCCGACATGAAGTCCCTCAACTCACGGTCCTGGCCAATCCATCCCCCTCTTTCTTTCCTGTTCCCTCTAACTTCAAAATAGTACAGACCACTAAAAAACGAAAGATTCATAAGATGCGAAAGTGGGTATTTCCAGGCTCTGGCTCTCACTGTGCTCCAGAAAAAGTTTTGAAGTAATTGAATAATTTGATCTTGCCCACATATTAGGTGTGTGACCTTGGGTAAGTCATTAAATCTTTCTTTAGCCTTTCTGAGTCTCAGTTTCTTCATCTGTAAGACGGGAATAATTAAGGTACCTACCTTATAAGAATTCATAAAGATAAAATGAGCTAACATAAAGAGCTTCACAGAATAACTAATACAACTAATATACAGCAAGTGTTGTTGCTATTATTATAAGTAAGTCCTTTTTCTTAATGACCAGAATCAAATTTTAATGAGTTTTCCTTAGAAAACACCTTTCAATGTTGCAGACTGTCAAATATCTTAGGAACAATCTCACTAGCAATCTCACACACTACAAACACTCATCTATCAGCAATTTGTGGATGGCATCTGCTTCCAAGAGAGACAGAACGTAGGTTTAAAAGGGACTTACATCCATGTGAAAGACTTTAACCCTTAACCTTCTGAAACCTCCCCAGCATTCTGCCTCTACAATGGGCACAGTTAGCATAATCACCAAAGAACTTTGACAAAGATCAAGTGGAAGGGTTCCCATATAGCATTTCACAAAGAATCTGTCACACTCAAATATTAAATATGTGTTGGCTATTATTTTTACTACATTTATTTGCTCACATAAAACACTGATTCAACATTGACTTACTGAATGCAACTGTGCGCTAGGCGGTGTTTGACTTTAAAAATTGACATGGTTTATGGTTTACAGCCCAAATGGGAATGTTCAGTGCCTCCTTGGTGGCCCAAGGATTAAGTTTCAGTGCTACCACCATGACAGCCCTCCTCAATGGCCCTCCTCTACAGCCTGAGTTCGATCCCCGGCCAGGGAACTAACCCACATGGTGTAACAAACCTCCCCTGTCTTGCCCGCTGCTCCCCTCAGCAGTGTACTTCAGTCAGTCTGCCTGTTCTGCTCTCCACTCTGTCTCTGTTGAATCTACTCAACACCCCCCCCCCACCTCTGGCCTACACCACAGTTATTCTATGCAAAAATAAATAAATAAAATCTTTAGAAAAAAAAATTTAAATAAGCCAAATGGAAATGTTCACATTGACTAAACAGACACAAAAATATATGTAATTACAAACATTGACAAGAATTATGAAGGAAAAGAACAGGGAGAAATGGCTAAGGTGTATCAATGGACATGTCACATTTTTTAAAAAAGATTTATTTTATTTATTTATGCATATAAGGACTAGGGTATAAGCCAGAGGTGGGAAGCAGAACAGGTGGATCTACTGAGATACATGGCTCAGGGGAGCAGCAGGTGAGACAGGAGAGGTCTGTTGGGCCATGTGGGTTAGCTCCCTGGCTGGGTATCGAACTCATGCCGCAGTGGCTGGCAATAGCTTGATAGTGCTGAGACTTTAACCCCTGTGCCACCAGGAAGGGCCCAGTATGTCACATTTTTAACATTTTTCTCCTGTAACCAAAATAACACAAAAATTTACATCCCGCAAAACTGCCCAAACCAGCACTATAAAATTTTTGAGTAAACACCTTCTAGCCTTTTCCATGTAGGCCTCAATATTATTTCACAGCCAAAATCATAGCAAAATTTCCATACTTTTGAACCAAGATGAAAAATAAGCTAAGCTGCTGGTTATAGGGAAGTTGAATTAGCAAGGTGATAGGAAAAAAGGAAAATGTGAGGCACTCCATTCTTAAAGTTATATTGTCAAAGACTCAATATATTCTGTTCCTCTGCTACTTTATGAATCATCAATATCATAGGAGTCATAAGAACACAATGCACAGATGGAACTCTACAAAGTTGCCAGGTGAACAAAACCACACCTCATATGCTGATGACTCAAAGAGGTTCTATCTGACCAGGCCAAGAAAGACATCAGGTGACTCCCCAGTTTTAAGATTTATCTGAATTGGTTCTACAACACTGTTGGTAGAGCTTCCCTTACTTCTTCCCATAATTTGCCTAATGGTAGAAGATGCACAAATGTAATTACATTTACATTTTATTACAAAGTCAGTGAGTCACTGTAAGTACAAGCTAGAACTTACATTTTATTGTTTTTCATTATGTATTGCGTGCTTCGTTGCCTTTGGGGTCATATATTTGTCGGGGGAGGAGTTATAAGTATGGAACACTTATTGTGCGAAGGACATACTGTTTTGTTGTGTTTCTGTTTTTAAGGCCACAGGATGACTCTAACCTGAGATTACTGAAATTCCCCCACATAAGTGTGGTGCATTATTCTTGACAGACAATGAAGATTTGAACTCTTGAGATGTATGGCACTACTTAAACCCAATATAAAACACTGAAACCAAACAAAAGAAGTGAAAATATCAAGGATGTCCAAGATAATTCAGTAGAACTTTGAAAATACCTTCCCATCTTCTATATGAATTCAAATCATACATCTTCCTGTTTTGTTTTGTTTTTTTCTATGTCTCACTTTAAATTACATTCTCTAAACAACGTTTTGGGTGTTGGTTCCGCTTGCTTTAATATATGCTATTGGGATCCAGTGAAGTAAAGACAGATGCCACCCTTGGGGTGACTTCTTCCCACTGTTCCCAGATCTTGCTACATTGAAACAAGCCTAAACAGGAAGCCCACATTGAGAGAAGAATCAAGAAGAGCCTGCAAGTTCACCATTTTACCAATAAGAAGGTATTTTATTAATTTTAGTTATTTTAACACAAAAGATAAATATGTACTAGTTTCCACACCCCACTCTTGTCTACCCTTTAGATGAGAGAGAAGAGAACTGAGTCCCATTTATTCAAACTTCATCAGCCATTATTGCTCTACCCATTATTGACATTTGCAGAACCCTCTCCACACCCAAGTTTTGGGCTAAAGCAAACCTTCCATTAGTCTTCATGATGACACAACAAGAGAGGTCTATTTTATTCCCATTTCACGGACGGAGAGACTAAGGTTCAGAGTGGCAAAGCAAGTTATGAAAGGACTAGATTGCTAATGATTAAGTCAAGGTTTGTATCCAGATCCTGACGCCAGCACCTGTGCTGATAACTACTGTCCAAGAGTAGACAAATGCTGGTCTACATTTTAGATAACACTTTATCCTTGTATTCAATGTTCATTTAATCACACAAGTTCTAAGATATATATGTAATAGATGAAGATAAAAATAGATGTGACAAGGTGACATAACTTACCCAAGCACCTGTCACTAAATAAACAGCAGAACCAGGCATTGAAGTGAGACTCTGAACTGTGGCCCTTTAAACACTCCCCAGTACCCTTTTACACTTTCCAAAAGTAAACTTCCATTTTACCTTTAGAGGTGGTGGATGGTAAGAAGAAAGTAGGAGGGGGAAGAAAAGCTCCCCACTTGAGATCAGATTGACGATTATGTCATTCTCCCTTCATCCAAGATTGTCAAAGTATTGTTTCAAATTTGTGAGTTAAAAAAAAAATCCTCAGGGCCTCCCTGGTGGCACAAGAGGTTAAGTATCAGCACTATGAAGCTATAGGCAGCCATGGCAGCACCAGTTCGATCCCTGGCCAGGGAGCTAACCAACATGGCACAGCAGACATCTCCTGACTTGCCTGCAGCTCCCCTCAGCAGTGTATTTCAGTCAGTCCACCTGCTCTGCTCCCCACTCTGTCTCTGGTGTATCCTCTCACCACCATCACCAACCCCGGCCTGTACCCTAGTTCTTGCATGCATAAGTAAATAAAATAAATCTTTTCCCCTCTATTTCTTACCTAGGATATCATTTATGATGAAAGAGTGAAAACATCAATCATATTTAATTGGCCAAAAGATACCTAGGATGAAAAACATACTGGAGTACAACCAGCCTTGAACAGATGTGGTCAAGAAAAGAGGGTGAATGAGTTTCTAAAGAAAACTAAATTATGACTGTAACATGGGTGTTTCTAGACAGATTTTTCATCTTCACCTCCAAACTCACAGTACCCCAAAAATCAATAGTTTACAGCCTCTGCCTACCAAAGTCTTCTTTGTCGAGTTTCCCATCTCTGGTAAGCACACCACCATCCACTGTGTCAGGAAAGCCCCAAAATCTGAAGTCATTACTTTCTCTTCCCCATCCCATGCCTCCCACCTTTAGGCATCCCCTACATTCTCCTAGCCTTTGTTACAACTTCACCACACATACCAGCCCTTTATTCCCAATGGCATCAGCTTTAACAAGAGTTTTCCTTTTTTTCCTATAAAAAAGGACTTCCCATACAGGCAAGGGGTAATCAGTTTTTGATCATGTGTAATACCCAGCATTTTCATTAAGCTGGCAAAGATGACCTTACCCCATCATTAAACTTCTCAGTGGAAGGAGCAGCTATGATTATTTTAAAGGTAATGATTAGAACAGAAACTAAGTTGGGTCCCAAACATTTCTACAAAAATAAACCTTAATGATAATGGGAGTGGTGGTGGCAAATGTCAACTCATGGGGTCTAGTAGCACCAACTAAAAAAGACCTGAGTAAACAGATTGAATGTAAACATTCAAAATCTTGCATTTTATTCCAGCATAAATTTGGCCACTTAACATATGAAAATGATGTCTTTTCCCACCAAAATCTTCAAGGAAAAATTTCCTCATGATGGAGGTATGCGAAGGCAAATTATTCATGATTTAGTGAAATCCTGATACACTGATGTAGGTCTAATGATATGTCCATTCCAGTTTGAGATTTACTGGTGTACCTGACAAAATAGAAGATAACTTTTAAAAAGTGAACTGTCAAGCAGCAATAGACGTAAAGCATCACCAGTTTGTTAACTGTTTGACTCCTCAACTAGATGTGTCATTGTGGTGCCTATATAATGGAAATGACTCAAAGTGGTTTTCTCACAATCAGATTACACTCCATGAAAGAATATTTATTATTGCAAATTACCGATGAAATTAATTAATTTGAAAAGCATTCTCACTTTCTCTTTTTTATAAAATATATTAGTCAAGTATTGACTCAAGTCAACTCAAGCAATGTTCAAACTTAGGAAAAGAACTTCTTGGAGATGCCTGATTTTAGGAAAATGGAATTGATATATTCGATGTGTTGTCTAATAGAAATATAAAGTGAGCCAAATGTGGAATTCTTATTTCTTAGTAGCCACATTAAAATAATTAAAAGAACCGATAAAATTAATTACAATGATCTATCTTATCTAACCCAACATAGCCAAAGTCTTACGGCTTTGACATTAATGTCTTCGAAATCCGGGGGGGATTTTACACTTAGTCTATTTCAATTCAGACTAGACACAGCCACACTTCATGTGCCTAACATAAAAAAGATAGGAAGGTAGGTGGGTAGATCAATAATAGTTAGGTATTGGTAAGTACTGTTTTAGGAGATCATACACCACATCCCATGAGAAATAAATTTCCTACAGAAATAAATTTCCTCTCTTTTCTGTTTTAGAAAACTATTAGTATTTTCTGGGTTTGGTTGGCTACATTTATTTCTATACGGTCCTCCAGTTGTAAGCTATCCCTGCTATCCCTATATTCCTATATAATGTACATGCCTTTCACCTGCAGAACTATAATTGTCTCTGTAAATTATGGACAAAACTAACACACATTATTCATATTTTTGTTTATTTGTTTTTAACTTAAGCTTCCTGTGCTATAGTCTTAGTCACAGTTTAATAGCAAATGATTAGCTCTAAGATATTCTCTAAAATCCTACAGCTTTAAGAATCTGTTTCATTAGGAATTATTCAGTGCGAAGGAAATGTATTGACACATCTTGTTTTATCTTTTATTCCTGGTGAGGGACATCTATAATTTGCAAAGACAAATGGCTACAGATGAAGCGCTTCATGTATCACTAGAGCCCTGAGCTAGGGTGATGGCTGTTACTTCCTCTGGCTGGTTTGCACCATCTTTCCTCCGCTGCAGTGGCGCACTGTGAGCACGTGACACAGCGCTCTCCAGAGGATCTGACAGAAAAGGCAAAAATGTTGCACTCCCCCAACCAACTGGCAAAAATTTCAAGGAGCTTGAAGTGTTCCGGTCTAGTCAGACTCCTTAATTCTTGTGTTTCCAAGTATGTTTCCAACGAGCCACAAAGAAATGTAAAAAACTCTCATAATCAAATGCAATTTTGATTTTGCATCACAAAATCAAAATTCTGGGATTTGTGTGAAGTGTGCCATGACTTGGCTCATTATTCTCATTTCCTTAATAAAATATATTTGTAAATAACTCCATTCGTATATTTATAGTACAAAGACAAAACATAACATTTGACTCAATTTATTAGATAGGTAACCTCAACAAAAGCAAGTCTAAGCTGTACACAATAACATAATGGAAAAGAAACATTTCTAACCCCTAAAATTGCTTATCTTCTAAGACTTAGCCTTATATTTATAATGCAGATTTTAATATCACTGCTACATCTAACTCAGGTAACCATGCATCTCCAAAACAGACACAAGCAATGTGCAAGACCAAAAACCCCACTGATTATTCAAGTGACACTGGGAAAGAGTATTACAAGGCAATTTCTAATATTGAGGATTTGTAGCCATACATAAAGCATCAACTGAAATAGATCTTCAGAATAAAATTTCCTAAAATGATTAAAGTAAAATGTGAAACCTCACAGTTTATACAAGACAAGAAACACTTGGCTGCAAATGGTTTTATAATTTTGCTAATTAAAAATTATCCCATTTTCACTTTGGATTCATCATATAACAGAAACAGGAATAACCTTACCATGCCAGAAACACAAGCAAATGATTAAAGTTCTACTCTCAAAAAAATCTTTAAAAGTTGGCAAAACATTTCATTAGGCTACAAATCAAAATCCGTCTGTCCCTGACATCTCTTTAATGTCTTCCAGATTCCACATCTACTGTTTTAATCACTCACTGAATCACTCAGAAATTAAAATGTTAAAATACTTCTCATCTTGTACCTCCAGACAAGTCCTCTGATATAATATAACCTTCAGGGCCCTCCATATGAGCAATGGACCGATAATACAACCACATGATTTATGTAGTGAATTCAATAAATTTCACAATGATTAAAAAAAAAAAAATATTCCCAGAACCATGCCTTCATCAATAAATCTGCTACATGTGAAGAACATAAATAAATACTAAAAAGGGGCCACCATGAACTCTCTCTTCCAAAGTCTGCCAAGTGGAAATGGGTACAACTATGATTAAAAATAAAATCATTTTCAAGCTTCCAAGGTGTTACCAACAAAATATGCTTAAGAAAAGAAGAACGCGGGTGGCAAGGAGGTTGACTGGTGAACACGTATTTCTCTGTAAAGCTAATGAAGGCAATGTTTACAGTGCACACTTATTTATTTATGCTTCCCTTCCTGCGCCCTCCATGTGCCACGGGAGCCAGTGTGCGTTAATGGCACTGAAAACCAGAGAACCTTCCAACTGCAAGTTACAGCAGTCACTGTGTCAGTGGAAACAATGAATCACAGACATTGAACCTGGGATGAGTTGTGGCAGCACCTTACATGTGTCACCAATGTGTCACGTGACACGGCTGTTGCCATGGTGAGACTCCATGTACAAGAAAGGTGTTAAGTCTCGTAGAAGGCACCCAGCCATCCTCCAAAGTTATCCATGCCCATGAATGTATTTTGAATCTTTCCACTGTCAAGAACATTATGATTGACTTCCTCTCTGGAACTCTTGCTAAAAGGAGGGAGGAGAAAAGTCACTTGGGAGAAGCTGAAAAAAATGAAGTATACCATCCCTGATGTTGGGGATGGGAGTTCCAGTGTTCTAAGAATAGCAGGATCTTTAAAAATAACTAGTTTAAATGGTTTCAGTGGAACGATGGGGGGGAGGGGAGAAGGGAGCAGGATCAAAACGAGGGGGGTGGGAATTGTATGGGGACTATAACCAAGATGAAAAAGCATACATGATGCAAAAATGAAAAATGATGTAAAAAATATATAAAATAAAAAATAATAAATGGTTTCAGTGGAATAAAAGTGAATTTTTTTTTAAAAAAAGGAGGTAATTTTTATGTTACTTGTATAATTTCCTGGTGTTAAAACAAAGAATGAGGGTAGATAGGCCGAAAATTATAGAATTTCTTGCATATGGTCATGTTTAACAAAAAATTTCCTCTTCAGCTTTTCCTGCCAGAGTCTCCCACTTTACCCTAACGTTGATTTCATCAACTGAAAACAAGGGGGAAATCTCAACCTACTCATGATCACGGAGATTAAGTGATCCACTAAAGGATCGAGCAGAGTCACTGGCACATGGGAGGCACACAATGAGCAGCTACTGCCACTACTTAGCATAGCAGTTAATTACTGTTTCTACTACACAGGTCCCGGCTTCGGGAAAAGAGAACCTACAAGGAGGTCTGATTCTTTAGCAATCGTTTCTTTGTGTGGCAGGTACCCCCATTTGGAAATAAGAACAGGGTTAAGAAAAGTCAATATGTTTCCTCCCAAATGATAAAGACATTTTTGTCAAAAAGAAGCAACTTTAAGTGAATTGTAAATATAGTGAAATATTTATCAATAATATGTGCCCTTGTGGCTACTGGCACTATAAGAAACAACCAAGATGGTTACAGGACACCTAAAGCAAAGCAGAGAAGAACAGAGGAACAAGGGTTTTGGGGCTCAGAGAAGACTCCAGGAGGACTCATTAACTACCTGAAAATATCTGATGGGCTGTTATGTGGACAAAATTTGTTTTGTAGAATCTCAAGGTACCAAACCAAATTATTAAGTGGGAAACCTGTGGGTGGTAGAAGTCTGTCCAGAATTCAAAAAGACTTCCTACCCCTAAGGGTTGGTCAAAGGTAAAATGGGTTTCCTCAAGGATAGAAGTTTACCACCTTAGAATTAGTCAATTAACCTAGGTGTACGTGTAGTAGCAATACAGCCTCAAAGACTTAAGACCCAAGAATCACAGAGGTAGTGAAGAGCTTCACCATTCTTTTGACCATTACATATCCGGAAGCCTTTGAAAGTATATGATGAATATCATGAAGATACAGATAAACACACATACACACATATACCTACACACACACAAATTCATATTCTGGGACATTTGCGATATAATGGCACATTTATTTAGAAAATACTTTAGGGCTAATTGCTAGCTGTATTAGTTACTAAAACTATTAAAAACAACTTTTTAAATAATGTTTTATGTATGTTAACTCATTTAACCCCACAAATGTCTATGATTTAGATATTACTATTCATATTTATAAGATGAAGAAACTGAGGCACAAAAATATGTGATTTACCAACAATGATACTATTATTAAAGTGACAGAGACTGATTTCAAACCCTGGTTGTCTGATCAACATCCTGTGCTCTTTTTTTTTTTTTTTTAATTTTATAGAGGCATGTTTATTTATTTATGTATTTATTTATTTGCTTGTTTTGTTTATACATGCACTGGGTACAGTCAGAAGCGCGGGAGGGTGAGAGAATTCACCAGAGCCAGAGCAGGGAGCAGAGCAGGCAGAAGGACCGAAGTACACTGCTGAGGGGAGCAGCGGGCCGCAGGAGAGGTCTGCGCGCCATGTGGGACCCTCCTCTAGTGGCCGGGGAGCAGCCGGGGATCGAACCGGTGCCGCAGAGGCTGCGGGCAGGTTCGCAAACCAGCGCTCAACCGCTGCGCCACCGGGGAGGCCCCAACATCCTGTGCTCTTATTCAACCACATTTAACTAGTTATTTCATAAGAAAGCTTCTATATCATGACCCTGGGTCCTGAAACTCATACATTTTTTCATTTAACAACAAAAAGGTAAGCTATTTGCAAGGTTTTCAACATAATTCTATGTTTGCTGTATTTTTTCGTCCATTTCCTACCATTTTTGGTTTTTAGTTACAATGGACATTTATGTGAAAACTGATTTGTTACTGTAGGGACCAATCTTTTCTAGATTTTCATTCCTCAATTACAGTAACAATACCTTGCTACATAAGCTATAGCTTGCTGACAGGGAGAGACTTTTCCTTCATGTCCAATTCAGTCTAATCATTATACTTGATAAAGAAATACTCTTATAGAACATTCTCCTACACCTTCTTTGACAAACATCCTTTTCATTTCTTTCTCCACCAGACTTTTAACCATCCTATACTATTGTATGCAGGCCCTCATCATCATGAACTTCTGCTTATTCAAAACTGTGGGTGTACACTTTGCCTCAACTTTATGAAAATGTCCCATTCCATAAATTTACTCTGCCCCACATTTCTCCCTATCCTGACATCCCTCATGAGACAAAAGATTAAAATCTTCAGCAAAAAGGGGAGTGAGGATTCTAATTAAAGGCGCCTTCCCTCCAGAGTGCTCACACTCATTTTAATCATTTTTGTCCTCCTGGACATTTCTTTATTGAAAAATCAAATGACACCCATAATATGTCTCCTGGACTCTACTTTTCCCTCATGACAAAATAAAAATATTTAGAAGAAAATTTCCCACTTTAATCAAACCTTTAAGAGTTTTGCTGTGCCCCAATAACACTTATACAATAATTTTTATATTATTCCTTAAGCCTCTCAGAATTTTATTAGATGTTGCATTTCAGCTGTATTATCTGATAAACCAGATTTGATGTGCTAATTAGATTTTGCTGTATATTTTATATATAATACATATATTTAAAAACAATACCTAAATCTTAAACTGTCAAAAATATTCACTTAGGTTTTCTAGAAAATTCACCTTAAATTCCACTGATGAGTTACACACCGCATTTTAGATTAACACTGGTTTGAAGAGAATATAGGTCTTATGTCACTTTTCAAAGTCCACTTTTCTTCTATGACTTGTTTTCCCTTTCATCTTTGAACCCCAGTCTCACTTTTACTTCTGGTTTATATTTATCTTAGTTTAAATAAAGGAAGGCAAAGGGGGACTCTCACTAAATTTCACTCCATTCAAGAAGCAATCTAATCACACAGAACAGACTATCTCAAGATATGATTTAAACAAAAGCTGATGACATTATTATTTCGTCAGAAACTGAAGAGCAAGTGATCGAGCTGGAGCAACAGTGAGCTAGAACAAAGAATGGAGTCCTCCGTGTTTCGAGCTCTATGTGCTTTAGACAAGGGCTCGGCAAACCACAGGTCCTGGAGCCAAACTGAACTTGCCACTGGTGAGGGACACTTGCTTTTTA